GGCCCTAAAAAGAAGGAGAAGATCATGTGGTTATTAAAGTAAATATAGGAAGTCTAAGGAAGTAATACAAAATGTTTTCTACGTATGGATACCCTTCGGAGTCTCTTCCTATTTGGTAAGGCATGTGCCTCAGTAATTGCTGCCACTGTTGCTTGAGCTGCCCTTAGTCGGGAGCAGGTCATGCGTACTGTTGTGCCAACTTGGGGAGGAGCAATTTGCAAGGGTCGAATAGACGTTTCCCTAGACGGGTGAGGCTCCTCCACAATGGGCAAGGATAGAAGCTTAAAGCGGCAGAATATGTTGGATTGTTTCCCTCGACCAGAAGGCAGATGAAGGGATAAGTCAGGCTGCGGGATAGGTTCAGTTGCAGGGACAACCGAAGCACTGCTGCAAAAATTGAAGAAAGAATTAAGGTTGCGATGCCAGAACAACCTATTATTAGGAGTAAAGGCGCCCTCTCTCCCAAGTGAGGAAAGCTCCGTGAAGCCTAAGCCCTCCACAAGTAGAGCAGTATAATCACGGCAAACCGTTGAAAACTCTGGCAAAAATCAGTCTGAGGTGGGAAAGCATATGGGACACCCTGATCCATCCCGAACTGTCTAAGGACCCTATCTGGCCAATAGGCGACGCTGCACATGTCTTCTTCGTTCCACACAGGTAGAAATCTGGGGCGAATCATGGTAGCAATAAGGAGGGAATTGGCCTGGACACTATCGAGAGAAAAATCAATGTGACGGGCCTCTGAAAAATAAAAAGAGACAACAGAAATGCCTGGAAGAGGCTGAGTGAAAAGGCGGAACACGCACTCCTCCATACGGTCAACATAGTCTGCAAAGGGTCTATTGGTGCCAAGACCAGACCACCGAGAGATGCGAGGGAGGGATTGACGCACTTGCCTTGTGACAGGCCGACCCTCTGCGTCTAAAACAAGGCGGCCCTTCTCATCAAAGACTTCATCGGTGAAGAAGGGCTCATGTTCCTTAAGGATATGGCCTATTGTAGGACATCTCTCGTAGAAAAAAGTAGTTAGAAATTGAGTGTGTACAAAACTCCACACATCATAGCGGCCCACAGACCGCTCCATGGCCGAATGGATGAGATCAAGACGGAAGTACTGGTTCCCCAAGAAGAGAGGAGCCGGAGGAATCTGATTGTCGCTACAGAGCTTGACAGCTAAAGGAAACATTAGGGGATTAATGCTTTCAGCAGGGTTACTAGGTAAAACAAAGAAGGAGATGAAATAACTGACGAATGCGGCCAAGTACAAGTCACCTCGGTAGCCCGGCCCAACTACGGAGTCGCGGCTCTCCTCGGTGATGTCGCTTACAACTGGTTGCAGGTCCTTGAAGAAGTGTTTTAGCCAAGGAAGATAGGTGGTTATGTTCCTTTTAGGACTCTCCTGGAGCAATTCCTCAGTTCTGAGGTCATACTAGGAACCAAATTTTCACGCCTCCCGAAAGGCGCCTTGGAGAGCGGTGACGGCAACCTGTTCTGCAGAAGTCAGGGATGCTGGATCAAAGGGATGATCTCCAAGAGTGCTCAGGCACAGAAGGATAGCGACATCTTCCAGGGTTGGGGTTATCTCCCCCCATGCCATGGCAAAATTATGAGTGTCGTAGCTCCAGCGAGAGACAACCATATCAGTGTTGGTCTTCACCTTACGCACAGATAACTCCCTCAAGATCAAAATGGCAATGAAAAGACAAACATCACACAAACGCTGCTCGAAACCGCCATCTGCAATGATGTCATTGTAGGGGGGTTCAAGGTTAGAAGGGTGATTAGAGAGGCAAAACTATCTTAATGGTCCAATAGTGGTTGAAGTGGCTGAGAAATGAGTGGCAGCAACTGTATGAGAGATGGAGAGTGTGTAGCTGGGTGAAGGTGAAGCGTGGCTCAAGAAGAAATGTATGGCAGTACCAAAATGGGCAGCATCTCCCCCAAATCCCCAAAAAATTTTTTCTGAACCTTGGGACATGGGTCATATTTATAGGCTTTTCCTTGGTGCCAAGAGGACACCAAGTGGCCAAATAGAGAGAAGACATGCGTCCTAGGGGATCACATGGAATATTCATCCTTGAGCCACCAGGCTGAAGGTGCCACGTGACCCCCTGCATGTACTGTGTACTATCTATTTGCCTCCATAACCACCTTTTTTAGCCTTAACAAGTGTAGTTACGACGGGAGTGTTTGGTGCTGCAACTCCCTTTTGTGCCTCAGTAAGTGCAGTTATAGCGGGAATGTTTGTCTCTGTACTTGCCTTCTCAGCTTGAACCTCAGCAAGTGCACTTGCAGCGGCGAATCTTGCTGTTGCACTTGCGTTTTCGATTATATTTGGTCAGTACATGCATTCTCAAGACTCCATCAGCTTGCTATCGGCTATGTTTGTGTTCACCTCAACGAAATCTTCACCCTTAGCCAACTAACCACAAACTCCCCAACTTCCCAGGCCGAAGGCTACAGCCAAGCCTACTATCGGCCATGCCGTGCCTTAGTACCAGGCTGAAGGGGGCTTCCTTAGTCCTACCTGTACGACTAAGGCAGGTCCATGACCTGGGTAATGGAAATGGAGTCCCTTATGTTCGAGCTACCTTGCTCCCATCTTTGTGGGGTTGCCGCAGTAAATTAGTATTTTTGGGCCTGCTATCAGCTCCAACCAGTAAGTCTTAGGGCCTTCTATTAGCGCCAAGTTAATAAACTGTAGGGCCTGTTATCAGCCTAGTAATGCCTTGGGACCTGCTATCGGTGCCAAGTATTAGCCTCCACTTTCAGAGTGAACCTTCTCTCAAAGACTGCTATCACCTTAGCAGTGTATCCCTTCTGCACTGCAGTAGTAGTTGCTGAGGTAGTCATTTCCCGCGGCAAGTTTAGACGGCAGGACTGAATATATTAGAGATGGCGGCATCGACATAATGCCTCTACAACTTGGGCGCTGCAAGTACTGCCTCTACAACTTAGTTGCTTCAGTTTTCTCCTTTCCTCAACAATTCCAAATGGCTGTGGTACCGACATTGCTTGAAATGGAGGCACTGAGACGAAGTGCCTCTGCAACTTGGTCGCTGCAAGTGTTGCCTCTGCAACCTAGTTCCTTCGATTTTTTGTTTCTCTCGGTAACTTCAAATGGTGGCAGAACCAACAATATTGGGAATGGCGACGCTAAGGCAGAGTGCCTCAGCAACTTGATTGCTGCAAGTAATACCTCTGCAACTTAGTTGCTTCAGCTTTCACTTTCCCTCAACAACTTCAAATGGTGACAGGCGACGGAACCAAAGATATTACGAATGGCGGTGCTGAGGCAAAATGCCTCAACAACTTTCCCGCTGCACATGTTCCCTCCGTAACTTGACCGTTGCAAGTGTTTCCTCTACAACTTGACCGCTGCAGGTGTTGCCTCCTCAGCTTGACTTAGGCATTTTTCTTCGTGGAGTCTGCTTCGACCCTTGGCGGGTCAGACCTACTTCGGTCCACTTCCCTTGGGTTTTAGCCCATGCTCCTTTAATCATTCCTAGTGACCTAATAGAGGCGACCTCCGCACTTAGGTCCATAATTAATTTGGACTTTAATTTCTGACCCTCTACATTTCCCCCTGCGCGCATGGAGAACATGTGCTTTTCTGCATGTGCATAATGTTAGGCTTGAAGTAAACCTCACCAGTATTGTTTCTTCACTTAGTACTCCTTTAACTTTTGTTGCATAGGTGTGTCTTTCTTTGTCTAGGGTCTGTTCATCTCAGAGAGGGACAATGTCTCTACTATTACTCCCTTAGGCTCAGGTAGCTCATCCAGTATTGAGGAACTTTCTTCAAACTTCAATGATGGTCATGATGTACCCCTTGGCTTGTTGCTTCATCAATCCAAAACTCAAAGCATAATGACTTCTGGCACCGAAAGGGGTAATAATAGTGGTCATAAGGAGCTTCCTTAATGAAGATGCTGAGGTAGTAGAAGGTGGTGGTGGAGACTTCATTCTTGGGACCCCTAGAGCTAATCATAGGGTGAACATATCTCTTGGGTTAGAACTGCTCAATATGGAGGTTGCTTGTGGGTTCTTCTCCTACCGGTCTTCACTAGTTTCACATGTTGTGGTTGTTAGAACCCAAATTGCTGCAGAAGAAAACAACACGGCTGAGTTTAGTATTGCTAATCTAGGCTTGGCTCGCCTGGTGGAGTTGGCTATGAACTTAGAGGCTGCCGTTGCTACCGTTGAAACTTCTGATCCCATTGCCTCTGCAACTTCTGTGCGGTATACCGGTATCTCTGGGCCTGTTATCAACTCTAACCAGTGAGCCTTGGGGCCTGCTATCAGCACCAAGCTAGTGAGCTTCGAGGCTTGCTATCAGTGCCGAGCTAAAAATGACTTTGGGCAAGCTTATGGAAGGTGCTAAGGCAAGCCTCAGTGAGCTTGAGGGAAATGGCCTGAACTTGTCCTGAATGAAGGCAAGGCTCTAGATGGTTGATGGTTTTCTTGAGCACGCTAGCCTTGAATGCTTCTTTGGAGGAGACCATCAGAGATTGAGAGAGCGCCTTGGAGTGACATCGCCAAAACTTGGCTCAGTTCAAGGAGAAAGATTCTTCTCTTATTGCTCAGTTGCCTCAAGATGTTGGTTTGATAGACTCCTTGATGAAGGGTCTAATATGATGTAGTTCTCTTTTTGCTTTTTCTTTTCTCTGTCATAACTTTTCAAACATTGTAATCATGTTCTGGAAGTTTGACTTTTATGAAAAGTATGGATGTTTGGTAGTACTTTTGAGTTTCATTTATTTGCCCTCCTTACATTGCTTTTATACAGTTTCTAAAGATAAGCCAAACTCTTACAGTGAACAAAACTTCAACACGACTGAGCTTTTACAAGGATAAAATTTCACTAAGTATGGAAAACTTTCCTCACACTAAGTGTATATGAGAGTAACAGGTTTGCTAAGCGTATGACACTTTCCTAACACTTTGCTTTGGAAGTATTGAGAAAGAAACTTGCAACTCTTTTTCCTGGACAAAAGAAATTAAGAAAAATATTCTTTGATATACTTGGCGTTGATAAGTCCAGTTCTGAACCCATCATCTACTCTTGTCAACTTGTAGTACCCGCTGCTACTTGCCTCAGCAACTTTGTAGGGGCTTTCCCATCTGGGTGAGAACATGGGGATTGGTTGCCCCCGCATGATTGCGTCCACTATCTTCCATACCAAGTCCCCCTCTTTGAACTTTTTGTGTTGAACAGATTGATTGTAGGCATGGGCTATAGATTGATGATACTTTTTCATTGCCCGCGAGGCTCGATCTCTTCTTTCTTCAGTTGCCTCTATGTCATTCTTCCTGTTCTCTGGAACTAAGTGTGCTGACATAGCCATTCTTGCTAAGGGTACTGCCAACTCAACTGGTAACACAGCTTTGGACCCATTTACTAGGGAAAATGGGGTTGCCTGAGTTGGTTTTCTCTTTGACATTCTATATGCCCAGAGTGCTACGGGGAGTTGTTCAGACCATGTGCCCCCTGCTTCATCCATCATTTGACTCAGTATTCGAATGAGGGTTTTGTTGGTCACCTCAACTTGTCCGTTCCCTTGGGGGTAGTATGGACTAGACTTGTGGTGCTTGATCTGGTAGGCATCCAACAGTCTTCCAGCATGGCGATCTACAAAAGAAGTTCCATTGTTAGACAACATTACTTTGGGCATGCCAAACCTACAGATTATGTTCTCTCTAATGAAGTTGGCTACTCCTACCCCATCTACCTTCCTCATCAGTATAGCCTCTACCCACTTGGTGCTAACTTCAGTTGCAGCAAGTATGCATCTGTAGTCTTTGGATTGTTACGTTATAGGACCTACCAGATCAAATGTCCAAGTATGGAACGGGTAAGGAGTCTTGATGTTGTGCAGTTCAACTGTCGATGCATGTATCAAATTTCCAAACTTCTGGCAGGATTGGCATCTCCTCACAAAGTTCTTAGCATCTTCTTCCATTGTTGGCCAGTAATAGCCGAGGTAAATTAGATGTCTATATAATCGCTGCCCTCCTTGATGCTCTGTCTTGTGGGCTTCCCTTAACACCTCATTTGCCTCATCTTTTGATAAACAGGCCAAAGGTTCCCCTTTGAAACTTCTTCAGTACAGCTTGCCTTAGTCAAGGAAGAAGCGAAGGGCTCGCCTCTTAACTCTGATTGCATCGACTTTGTTCTCGGGCAATGTACCCTTTCCAAGGTAGTTAATATATGGCTGCCTCCATTCTTCACTACTTAAGAAATGGGCTTCCTCTTCCTTAGGGTAAGACTGACACTTTGCACATTGCCTTTGCAACTCAATACTTTCCTTTTCTATCTTTGGCCAGTAATACCCTTGCCTCTGTATCTGTTGGTATAGATTGATATCTCCATCTCCACAGGACTTAGCATGGATCTGCTTAAGTCTGTAAGTTGCTTCTTGTCCACCGACGCATCTTGCCAGCAAGTTGTTGGGACTGTGAAAATAAAACTCTTCTTTGAGGAGTAGAAATGATGCAAGTTTTGTTGGTCAGATTATTCCCTGGCCTGTTTTTAACTGCTGGATTATATCTGTTTTCCATCGCTCAGCATCTTGCTCTGTATGTTCTTCAGCTAGCACTGTTGGTGTTGTTTTTTTCTCGATGACGATGGCTATACTATCATCTGATATCTCCACTTTTGCCTCCAGTGTAGCCAAGGCATCGGGGAAATGGTTATGTATTCGAGGGGTATGCTGTATTTGGACATCATCAAACTGATTGAGCAACCTTTGAACTACAATGCAATATGGGGCCAACTGAGGCTCCTTCAAGGCGAAATCAACCATTGTTTGCTTGACAACTAACTTGGAGTTGCCCCAAATTTTCAACTTGCAGAGGCCCTTCTTTTGGGCAGCTATTAGACCTAGTATCAACGCCTCATATTCAACATTGTTGTTTGAACACTCAAAGTCAAGCTTATATGATAGCTGAAACCTCTCTCCTTCTTGACTGGTTAGTGTTATGCCAGCTCCACCTTTCTTACCTCTAGAAGCTCCATCACATTTTAAGTCCCAATAAGTCTCAATTGTAGCTGTTGAGACATGGACTTTACCTGGTAGAGGCACCTCCACAGGTTCACGTTCACCAGATGGGAACTGGGCTAATAAGTTTGCAAGTGCTTGGCTCTTAATAGCCTTAGGAGTAACACAAGTGATATCATATTCTGCTAGAGCCAAAAGCCATCTTGCCATTCTTCCAGTCAAAGCGGGCTTGCACAGCAAGTAGCGGACTGGATCATTCTGGATCACAACCTAGATTGGGTGTGCCAAAAAATAGTGGCGCAACTTCTGCGTCGTGAAAATTAAGGCTAAACAATGCCTCTCAATTAGGGTATATCGCAACTCGGCACCATTGACTTTGTGACTGATGTAATATATTGGCTTCTCAATGCCATCTATGTTTTGGACAAGTAGAGCTCTGATAGACCAAGTAGTAGAGGTCAGGTACAGTAGCAGAGGCTTTTTGGGCTGTGGGGCAATCATTGTAAATGGAGAGGTAAGTGCTTTCTTCACCACATCAAACGCCTATTGGTGTTCTTACAACCATTCAAACTTGTGATTCCCTTTTAGCAGTGTCCCAAAGGAAAAGGTTATCTCAGCAAGGGCTGGAATGAACCTCCTAAAGTATGACACTTTGCCTAGGAATTTCGTCAAGGCCTTTTGAGAGTGTTGCGGTGGCATCTCCATGATTGACTTGATCTTATCCCCATCTACTTCGATTCCCGACTGGTGTCAAGAAAGGCAAGGAACTTGCCGGCGATAACTCCAAAGGCACACTTGAGAGGGTTTATCTTGAGGCAGAATTTGCGACAACGCTGAAAAACTTTTTCCAAGTCATAGAGGTGGCGGTTTGCCTCAGTAGACTTGGCCACCAGATCATCCACATATACTTCCACTTCGTGATGCAGTATGTCGTGGAACACTACAGTCATAGCCCGTTGGTAGGTTGCCCCAGCGTTTTTTAAATCGAAGGGCATCACCGTATAGAAAAAATTTCCCAAGGGTGTTCTGAAAGCCATCTTTTCTGCATATTCTGGTGCCATTTTGATTTGGTCATAACCACTGAACCCATCCATAAAGGAGAGCATCTGATGGCCCACAGTAGAATTGACAAGTGTGTCAACATGAGGCAATGGAAACTCATCTTTTGGGCAGGCCTTATTCAGGGCGCGAAAGTCTACGCAGACCCTGATCTGACCATTCTTCTTCTACATAGGCACAATATTTGCTAGCCAAGTTGGGTACTGTATAGGCTCAATGAGCTTGGCCCTCTGCAACTTTTCTACCTCTACCTTAATCTTTGCTTCAAGATCGAGGTGATACTTTCGAGCATGCTGCTTGATTGGTTTAGAGTTGGGAAAAGTGTCCAGATGATGAGTGATAAGGGATGGGTCAAGACCAGGCATCTCGTCATATGTCCAAGCAATGACATCACTGTACTACTTTAGTAGTGTTAACAATTCTGCCTTAGCTGCTGGAGCCATTATATCACTGATAAACACCGGCTTGCTCTGCCCAGGTAAGTCACTGAGGTTGACCTCAGCAAGTACCTCTTGCTGGGGTTTAGGCCTATCTTGTATGCATTCAAGGATGGGCTCATGCGTATTCACCAGCCTTTCTTAGGACTCCTCACCGTCACATTTATTTGTCTCAGGGCCATCCTCCCAAGGTATGAAGTCTGGCCCCCAAGACCGTCATAAGTAGTAAACTGTCTTGTCGCCCTCATACACTTTAATAATCTTAGGCAGAAGACTTGTGGATTTGCTGCTCATTTTCTGTCCACTGCTTTCTAGAGCAGCCTCTGCATCTCAAATGTCTTCCCACTTCAGTAATTTTACCCTTGCAACTTTACCAGTCCTTGGAGTTTCATTTGTTGATAACTCAGTAAGGAAAACTGTATCTGAATAGTGTGCCTCTTCCACTTCGAATGGCTTTTCAGACGCATTTATGATCACTGTGCGCTTTCCCAACTTTACTTTCACGCATTGATGATAACTGGACGGGATAGCCCCATATCGGTGCATCCAAGCTCTGCCAAGTATCATATGGTAATTTGTGTATGCTTCAATCACACGGAACTTAGTTGCAGAACGGATCTCACCAACTGCTAAGTCCATGAGAACATGGCCCCTAGTAACTTTTTTCTCCCCACCAAAACCCGTTACAATGATCGGTTGGCGAATCATTCTGGACTCTAGGATACCAGCCTTTGCAAAGGTGTCAGTAGTGATGATGTTTATGGATGCCCCACCATTGAGGAAAGCACGCTTGAATTCTACATCATTGATGTAAGCTATGACAAAGAGAGGACGATTATGAGGAAATGGTTATGCTCTGTCTGCTTCTAAAAAAGTAATGGCCCCATAATCTTTCTGGATGCGCCAAGGTACATGCTCCTTAGCCTCTGCAACTTCATCATGGTGCACTTCGGAGATGTTAATGAGGGCCTTTGTTGCTTCCAACTTGGTGGCTTGGCTCAGCCCCAGCTAGTCAAAGAAGGTGCAAAACTTAACAGAGTTTTGCAAGGCTTGAGCATGAGTATCCTTTGCGAATTTTGCCTCTGCAGGTGCTGTCTCAGGGAGCTGGCTGCTGGCGATTTCATCTAACTCATCATAGTAGAATGCCATGTGCCCTTGATCGCGCACAGGCCCAAGATAGTCAATCATGTGTACATTTTTCCCCTTCTCCTTATGATTAGGATAGGGATCCTTCCTTATATCGCGATTACTAGCATCTTTGAACTTCAACTCATTTGCGTCAACTTTTTTCTTGAAGATACTTTTCATCATCTAATAGTCCCTAGTAGGGTGTATGGTGGTTCTGTGATAGACATAATAATCTGGGCTTTCTTTGTCCTTCTTGGTTAGAGTGACATCAACCAGAGGCAAAGTAAGTTCACCATCAGCGACCCATTATGTAACCAAGGCCTTAACATTCTCAAGGTTGCAAGGATATGGATTTCTGTCATCATAACTCTTTCTCTTTCGAGAGGACGAGGCCTCTGCTTGCGAGCGGCTCCCTTCTGTGGAGGTTACCGCAGCAACTCTGCTACTGCAGGAGTTACGGTGGCTATCACGAGATCTGTGTAAAGGACCAGTGGTACTGAGGTTCCTACCTGCCTCAATCAAGGCTAAAAAGGTTGGTAGATTGTGGTTCACCAAGAAAATTTTGTAGTCGCGCATGGCACCCTCTATACATATGCTGACTAAGTGAGCCTCATCCACTGGTTCATGACAGTTAGTAGCCTTATCTTGGAACCGCCTAACATAGTCCAGTATATCTTCGCCTTCTTTTTGGACATCTTGCCCAAGTGTGTGGATTGTAACTTTCTCCTGGACTTAGAAGAACTTTGTGTGGAACTTGTTCACCTTCTCCTCCCAACTCTTGATCGAGTTGGGAGCCAAGTTCACAAACCAATTGTAAGCCCTTTCAGTAAGTGATTTGGAGAACTCCCGAAGACGCAGAGAGTGGTCACTGCCACAGACACCAAGAGTTTCAATGAACCTCACCGCATGCTCTCTGGCATTGCCTTGCTTTCCATCAAACTTAGTAAACTTGGGCACTGTATACCCAGTTGGGTATGGCATGGTCAATATCTCTTGAGAGTATGGGGGCTTCACATCTGGGTCTGGGAGAGATGGCAGCTGCTTCATGCTACACTCTTGCTGGAGCATAGCTTATACATCGGCAAGAGTAACAAAGTGAGTGGGCTTCAGTCTGCT